CGCGGAGAACTTTCTTCCGCACTTTTCGATAGCCGATCGTTATTGACAAATGTCCCATTACTGCTTTTCGTATCTTTGAGAAGAAAACAACCTTCCTCATGCCATAAAATTGCATGATTTCTTGACAACACCTTAAATATCTACACTTACAGTGAAAAAAATCCCAGAATACAATAGATTAAATATAAGGAACTTCTGATAAAGTGGGTTTGAACGGAATCATGATGCAAAATCCGTAAACTCAATCACAACAAGTATGGTCAAAATCTCTTTTTTTATTTCAAAGACTAGAACATGAATTGAAGCAATTTTGCCGCCAACCTTGCAATCAAAAATAGCGTTATCCGAACTGGGTTTCAATCGTGCAACTGATCGTCCAATTTTTATTGCCTCTTCTTCCGAATTTGGTACTGTAAAACGCCTTTCTTCGAATGCATGCGACTGTGAGCAAGCTGTCAGGATAGCATATGGACACCGCATTCCTGTCATACCACACAACTGAAACCTGAATTTTTAGTTTTTTTAAGCTAACAATGCTGTACTATTTGAATACAAATTTATCGCGCATTTATATGACATAATGACACCCAAAATCATTGAAGTAAATTCATCACAAAAGTAAACATTGTGAAAACACAGAACACAAATAATATTATTAAAGAAGAATCAAGCTTTTTCCATCTATCAAATTCAATAAATTCATAAAATTGAAACTTATATAAATTAAAAATAGGAAGCGATATTGATAAAGTAGTAAGGGTGTATCTCGCTCTAACATCTCAGATCGCGGAATGATTTTTTCTTTTTTTAATATAAAGCAAAGTCTCTCCAAAAACCCGGAACTCTTTTCCACTTATTTTCTAACTAATTTACACGAAGTTGTCGCAAACAATTGAAAAATTTGAATACAAAGCAGTGAAAGTATGCAAAAAAATGTTAATATATTCAAACAGTAGGAGCACAATTACTCGAAGTATATAAGGAAGCAGTCACTCATATATCTAACAGTTCTCCGTGGCATTCTTATAGTGGTACCATCACGAAGCGGTGTCGCGTGTCGAAGGATCCCTCTACAGGTTACGGATTAATTTGCGATAGGGCCATAGAATGATTTTTAATCATGTACAGATGAAATTTGAGCAACGTTTCGTGGTACTTGACTTGTCACATTTTACTTTACACTGAATTTTTCATTTTCCTGTATAACAGGTTAATGCGGAGATAATAGATAGGGATAACGGCGAGCTAAAGGGATTTGAATAAAAAGTTCGGAAAAAGTGATTTTCAAAAATAAATGACACACTGTTTGCTTTAATAAAGAAGGATGTGTTTCTTTCTCTTATTCCTAGACATATATGAAATTGTTATGTTTGCCATGTATTTATACCTCAACCGAATTTAATGTACGTCCATGTTGACAACTAGACGCAAGAACGCTTTATTTCAATACGTAACAACACGTAAAATAATCCTGTAACGCAGTACTGGATGACATAACTCCAGGTTTTTTTTTTGACATTACAAAATGAATTGCAGTTGTTAGAATCATTTGTAGCTTTATGACAGCAAACGTGCTATTTAACGTAGGCAATAGCAATATGAGTCCAACCATAGTGAAATAAAACACTCAAGCATAGCTATCTAATCACAGTCCTTATTGATTCTGCTCTTGAATGCTTCGACCGTGTATAAATCGAACAGAGCATGGTATTCTTGGGATACAACTAAGTCTTGAAATTATTCTACGAACATCACTTCCCGCAACTCGCAACTGTTTTGTTATATGGTGACAAATAATCGTAAGTTATTGAATTTCCCGCAGGTTATAAATGCAGATAAGTCTCATGCCTTCCGGCTCACCGAATGCAAAAAAATGCGAGGACTACTTTCTTGATTTGTCTGGGATTTCGCGGTGCACATTGTTGCTATCTTTTTTTTCTAGGACGGGCCGCGTTTTGTGGAGATGTGTTTGTAAATTCTGTTGAAAGTGGAAGATATTGTGGGTAGGTGGATATGAACATGGTCGTTCTAGACCGGGCTTTGTTTTCCTATCACTACATATTCATCTTTCCTAACTCATGGTATTATAAGAGTTAGTTTTAGATTCTGCAAACTTTTGTTAGATTTTTGTGAACAGACATAAAATGCCTTGAAGTATCATATGATAGTCTCATGTCTCCTATTCATTTTACTTTATCGGCTAATGTATAATTTCATATCACATTATCAGGAAGTACTATGTGAATAAGTGGTGTAATGTCATTATGATTTTATTATGGATGAACTTTGACAACTGTACGGTTGGGCTCATGTTACGCAACTTGTCTCATGCTGTTGCTAATTGACTGAAGACGATTTTCAAGTGAATAATGATTGGGTTCCTAGGACTTTCAATAGAAATTGAGCTTTTTCAAGAAGTTACGAGGAAGCAGAAATAGAAATACACATTGTCACCTAGTTACAGCGTTCATCCGAAATTTTTAACGCAACTTTTATTAATGTATTTATTTCCGAAATACGAAATTGCTTTTAATCATGTTGTGATTGCGCAAAATTCACCGATACTGGATAGAATCCCTCGATTCGCAGTTTGTAACTTTTGCTGTCATTTAGATCTGGGGAGATATTTGTTGCTAATCACGTTACTTGAAGAGGTTTCTCACTTGGGACGTACCTTCGTCATATACGTGTACAGTGTTTTCATCTGTTCCTGTAGGCTTGTTAGTTTGAGTACACGATGTATAGCATCTAGTTGTCATCGAACCGGCAACACCGACGGGTACTCGAGATGGAGAAAGTGGAAAACTGAACTGTGCGTGGTCGGGATGATGCAGTTATGTAAACAAATAAGTGGTTGAAATTCTGACTGTATGATGTTTTGATCGTTTCATTGTAGCGTAGCCATTCCTTTCATATGGTTACTTTTCAAAAGCATAGTAAAGCCGAAATCCCATCGATGTACACGGTTTATAACGTTTGCTTCATTGTGGTTAGTAAGAAAATAAAAAATATATGTAGTGAACATTTTGTATTGTATCTAATATTCTACGTTATATGTTTTTTATAATCTTGATGAAGGAATTCGAAATGCATACACTACTGCATGATGTGTGATGGATGGGTAACATTATAGTTGAAATATTCTTTCTATTCATAAATGTATTCTCTTTTCGGCATAAGGATTACTCATTTTCAATTTTTATTGAAGTTTCTTTTTAATTCACATGTTCTATTTGGTAAGTGGTCGTCATCTTTTGTTGGTTTCATAAATTCAAGAGAGCATCCTTCACGATTGCTGTAAACATTATTTTATTCAGGAATCGCGTGTTTGCAACGGTCGTTCTCATCCAATATGAAGATGGAGGGAGTTGGTGATGTTATGAATGGCCGTACGAATGAAGTTGCCAAAACACCACAACCGTCACCCAAAGGTCTTATATTAAACCTATTAAATTTTTATTTAAATATGTAAATACCTCACTATATTGACGCACCGATTCATATATTTATTGTTGGAACATGATGTCCTGGTCTTTTATTGCAATAATCGTAGGACTGAACACTGGAAAGATAGTTGCTAATGCTTTCTGTTCCTCAGAAAAAGATCGGCGATGTCTGCGTCATTCAAGTTCTCTTATTCCACTGATATCGTCAGATAGTTTGTGAATCTGATTCTTAAACATCATACTGCTTCTCGGCTTGCTTGTTTGTAGCATTTTGAAAGTATATTCTACCTTGCTCCGATGTTCTTTATCCCTCACTCACACCATAATGATCTTCCAGGATGTGTTATGGAAGATAATTTATTGTTTCCTCCGGCTTCCAAAAAAAAATGCATACTCTTTATTATACTTTTTAAAATTTCGCGTTATACATAACAGATAGCTTTTATTCTAATCTTTAAGTTTGCACGCTGCGTTTTTAACTATTGTACGTTTTTAGAAATTGGACGTGAATTCGTTCGTCAGTACTATACGATGTTGTCAGAAAGGCCACAGGACGTGTTTCGCTTCTACAGCCATGAATCATATTTTGCTCATGATACAGACCAGCCTGTTCAGGGACAACAGGTTATAATTCATGACTCTTAAGTATGCTGTAAGAAGATCTTTATAATTGGCGATAATTGTTTATATAATGAATAAAGCATTTATAATAGGTTATTTAATTTGCAGAAAATACAGAAAGCAATTGAACGCTTAGCTTTTGTTGACTGTAAAGCCCGTATTTATACCGTCAGTGGCACTGCCACAATGAACAATGGCTTAGTCATACAAGTAAGTTATGAAACACTTTTGATGAAATGATTTTCTTTTTTGTGTTAAATTCTGTAGTATAAAAATGGGAAAATTGGGCATTTCATTTTATGAAAATTGAATATCAATCATTTTTTTTCAAATTGTTTTCTTTGGGTTTTTGTAATTCAAACATTGAGTAGAAGATTTTAAAGGTTTGTGGCGAACTTTCGATCGGCGATAATCCTGAAAGGCGTTTCTTGCAAACATTTATTCTGTGTCCACAAACTCCAAAGAAATACTATGTTCACAATGATGTTTTCCAGTGGCTAGATCGAGCCTTCGGTGATACTGTCATTCAGCCGCAAAAGAACGGTTACTCTTTTTATGCTTTTTCCCCTCATCACATAATTTGATGTACATATAAGAAAAGCACAGATTATGAGACATTTTTCATAAGAAAACCCGAAACCATATTTCACATCGTGTAGGAAGGAAATATGTGGGTGATCTGGAAGCACGGTGAGACATTCCCATCAAACGTTATTTGAGGATAGTAGCAGGTGCTTTTTTTTTGTTAATTCATGTCATGTTTGGTTGCGCTTTCAGTGGGACTTATGCTGCATAAGTTGGTACTGTGTGAATTATTCTTTAAATTTTCTCCGTAATTTACCATACATTTTTCTGCGTCAGCCTTCCCTCTCTTGAGACAAGGTGTTCTTATTGCAACTCATCCTACTTGCCAAAAATTATCTACATTCTACCACTTTTCTTATCAAGAGAGAGGTTCCTGACCTCTCTCTTGACAAGCAAAGTGGTAGAATGTAGATGTTTTGAGAGGGAAGCTTGATTGCAGAAATTATGGTTATTCGTATTGATATGTCACACCTCCCGTAGCTGCATGAACGGCTATCACTTAGAATATGCATTCATGTTAAGTTTTATAACTTATACCTATAGGGCTCACTACAATATAGTGCTCTATAATGATGGAAAAATCTAATAAGAATGTGTCATTTAAGAGTGAGTAAGCGGCGTTGGAGTGTAATCAAGATATGAAGAACCATCCCTCAGGCTTCAGCGTATTTTGTATATTTTTTGAATGCGAGTGCAGATAAAGGGACTCCAACTTCCACTAAAAACGATAAAAACTGTGAAAGTCCTAACCATTACACACCATCACACATTATACTTAACCATTACAAAAGTCCTAACCCCCCGCCTCCAGTCTTAACACCTCCCTCCATACCCTCTTAACCATTACAGTTATTTTAAGGGATAATGCGATATTGAAAGTAGCATTATTAAAGTCTATCAGTCACCATGATTTAAACAACTTACTCCGTTGCCACCAACATTAGATACGAAAGCCAATACATGTGGAAAAGAGTGACATATAGCCTGATATTCAGGTTTTCAGATGTCCAGACTCAAATTGCTACTGAAGAGAATGTTGCAGCAAATGGTGATGCAGGCGGAATTAACGGTCACACTCAGGCTATTTCTGCAAGCCACAATCGTAAGTGCTTATAATTTCATTGCATATTTCATCCGCCATATTCTTGGGTAGGTTAACGCGTTGCATTGACTTTACGAGCTCTTTGTGGTTTATTTTCATGATGGTATTTTGGCGCATCTTTTATCTCCTTCGATTTTCAGTCGTGGCATGGAAGTATGACACTCAAACTTTTAATTACGGTCACGACACAACATGGTTTTATAGAGAAAGTTTTGCAGCAACATTTTCTCCCCTGAATGTAACGTTATAGAGATGGAAAGGAAATGTTCGTCTAAGAGAATGTAAATGATTTCGAAGATTTTCAGAAATTGAGACCGCCGATCAGTTATCCGACAGCTTGAAGAAAGAGCAACATCTTGAATCCATCCCAGCAGTGAATACAAATGCAGTTGTTCATGATGCAAAGCATCAAATGAATGACGTAGTTAATAGCAAATCAGATGATACTGAAGAGACACAAGCAAGTTACAAATAATGCTATCATAATTTCATGTCATGTACCTCGAGATTTTAAATTTTATTCCAACATTTTGCAAGTTAGTTATGTGAGGGTACATCTTTTTTCCTTATTACAACTATTGAGACGGAAGGGAAGATCTATCACTCTATAAATGAATTCATTTGCAGATAGAAAATTCAAATTCGGTTGCAGTTGATTCAGCACCGAAAACTTGGGCTAAATTGGTCGGTGGTAATCATACAACAACTGCTGCTGCGCAACTGCAAAATATGACTCAGGCAACAGTTCAGCCATCGGTGCGGTTGCCTGTGATTCAAAATCAGACTTCGATCTCTGCTTCAAACAATACAAATCACGCAAATTTTGGTAAATAATTAACATGTGTGATATTAGAGGAGATTTGTTAACTATTTTTTGTTTACATGTAATTGTTCCAAGCTTTATAGAAGACAATTGTCGACTCTATGTGGGCGGCATAACTCGTAATATTGTCCCAGAAAGTGCAGCTGCAATTGAAAGAGATATACGTTCTGAATTTGAAAGTAAGTTCTATCTGTATTATGGTTATTCCATAGTTACTGTTCCACTGAATTTTAGGACACATCTTTGCTTTTATTTTTGCATTTTTGATTTTTCTTTCTTTAGAATTCGGACATGTTGCTGCGGTAAATGTTCCCCGTCGTGTGCTAGATACCGCGGATTCACAGCGGACTGTTTTTGCTTTTGTAGTTATGAAAACACCAGAGGGTGCAAGAAATGCATTCAGTGCTGCAAGAAAGGTCATTTAAAATTATCTTTAAGCCAGTTTTGTTGATTCGATGAGAGTCACTTAGTGACGTTTTATTAATGGAAGATGAATAGGCAGAGTCTTGGAAAAAATTTGCTTTTGCAGGAAATAAGGGTGTTTTTTCTCATCCAAGCATGTTCAGTTGCTCAGCCTTTTATGTCATAAGATGTATATAGCGTGTAAATTGTAAGCCTTTCAGGAACGATCGCTTTCACTTATACATCTGAAAATTGATTCACTTGGATTCGACGGAGAAGCCACTCTCTCAGAGCAGAAAGGTGGACAGATAAACTCTCGTACTCCGTTTATACACAGAGGTCTTCCAGTGCAAGGTTACATATTGCTCATTATTTAACTGCTGATCCACATTCAGCGCTATTAATATGTTGATTGTATTTTTCATAAAAGTTAATCGGAGGAGTTTTATGGCTTTCAGAACCAATTTATTGAACTATGTTTTGTGTAAAGCATTGTTCTAGTTTTCTTCAACATTAATATTTGAATGAAAAATAGTGCAAGAATATTTTCAGGCGTGTCACGCGGTGGATTTAATGCACGTAATGGATCTGGTGGCGGACGTGCTGGTGGAGGGGGATCTCGCGGATTGCGAAATTATAGTGGTGGTAGTGAATATCGGCAATCAGGCGAACACGGTCGACATTAGTGTTTATTGGTAAACTCCCTCCATCAACCAGCGATTATCAATCAGTCAAGCAAGCAAATCATAATTGTAGTGTGTACATGCGATTCCCTAACCTGATGTTGCTTTTTTTTCTTTATATTTATTTTTTATTGTTCTATAAAGTCTCAGAAGACATTTGCTCAGTTATCTTCCACCGTAATAATGAACTACGTTTTGTCCACAGTTGGAGGCATCAATTTTTGCTACTTTTTCTGAATATTTGTAGAAATACGTGAGCTATATCAACGTTAATTTAGTCAAAAGTATATTCACTTGGAAGGTTCCGTGAGCCCTCTAAAACCTACATATTTTTATTTGTTTTTATATTCCATTTATTCTCATATTTTAAGTTTAACCGGGATCTTTTGTGTTAATATTAGTGCCTCACTTGATTCGTTTTTCACCATTCACTCCTCAGCTCTCGTTACTGCAAATTCTTCGTCGAAAGTAATTCATCACCAAGAGCATGTACTTTATAATTCCTTCTTGCATATCGGAAGTAAAATCTGATGCTTTTGGCTTACGACAAATTTTACTAGGTTCTTTTTAGTTTTCTGTGTTTCAGTTTTTTGCTAGTTAGCACTTTTTCCCCATTTGTTGTTGTAGATGTGGGGCACCATGTATGCCTTATGTTTTTTTGTCACGTGATAATTCATAATTTTTGCAACACGTGTCAATTATTTATATGTTATATCCACCCAAATGCAGGGTTCAAGGATGTAAGATTTTTAAATGTCATATTCAGACACGTATACATTATTCTCTTGTGATAAGGAATGTGTGGCTCTATTTTTTCGCATCTGTTTTAGGTCTGTTTTTCAATAATTTTTCCCCATAAATTTTAAATTCGTGATATTTTTTTGCATGAATTCTACAATCTTTTAATTATTGATTTCTAATGGTTTATTCATCTCTTATTATTCGTTCTTGTTTAGCGGACAGGTCTACAATGTCTATAATATATAATTCTTTGGATGCATCATGCTATCGATGACAACTTCTAGGATATCTTTCGTGCAATCCTAGCATTGGACAAGTATAGTTTCCAGGATGATTGTCATGTATTCTTTAAATGTGTCTTGTTTACGATTAGGGTATCTGGATTTCTTTCGTACAATCTTAGTATTTTTATATAAGGGCAATTTCCAGGATGTCTCTGTGATTCTAAAAAATATCTTGATTTTAGATAGTTTACAATCATTTTTCAGAAAATTCGCATTGTCCAGTCTTTTATATCTTTTTTTACTAGCGTGTAGTTATTTATTTAGCATTTTCTGTATTGGTTGTTTATTGTTTGAAGAATATTGGTAGTGGTAGTTCACTTAGCTACAGTGAATCTATGTAACTAAACCCTGGGCACTCTTACAAACTAAATTTCATAGATACCGATGGCTGAATAAATTTCAGTGTTTGGGATGAGTGGGGGCTTAAATATGTTTTTGTTATCATTTAGTATTGAGCACGGTATCAACATTCATTCAACAGTAGCAACTAGTTTTGTTGATTGTTCATCACGTCCTACTAGAAAGCATTTTGGGTTTTTTTGTGAATTTTATTTAATAATTTATTATTTAGGATGTCATGAACATTTTCAATTTATCTTTGGAACTTCTGGAAGGTTAAAGTTGAAGTGATGAATCCAGTGAAATTTCTTAAATTTCAAGGATAATTCAGTAAAATTCTTCAGTACGAGCCCAAACCTTGGTTTCTGTAATTACGATGAATGGTAGAGTTATTAGTGTCCATTTGCCCGGTCAGACATTTATTAATGCGGATATACATTCTCTTTGCTTTCCTCTGAGCCATTATGCGCTGTGATCAACTTTCTCTTCTCCTTTGTTTATTGTTCCTCGTACTATCCATTCTGTTTGTGTATTTTTGTCTGTTGTCAGTTATTTTTTGCGCATCGTTTTTCTCTCATATGTGACATGAAAAAAATGAGACTAAGAAAACTGTATGCTGTTCCCTTGTGATGA